AAAGAAATTCAAATGGCACAGAACTATATATAATGAATTTTATTTCCTTCCCACTTCAAACTCCCAGTTCTGCCTCCCAAAAGCAATCACAGCTAATAGTTTCTTTATTTCTCCAGAAAGAGTCTGTGTATACAAAAGCATAAATGTACATGCCCTACCTTTCTACACCTTTCTATACTCAAATGGAAACATATACAATTTTTACTTTTATCCTTAGTTAAAATTGAATAGCCTTAATATACTTTGAAGATCATTCCATATAAATGAAGGTATTGCTCATTCTTTTCCAGGATGCATCGTAGTTTATTTCATGCATGTACCATAATTTATTTAACTAGTTGCCTGTGCAAAGGCATTTAAATAGCTTCCTTTTTTTCCTAGTACAAACAATGCTGCCATACATATTCTTAAACATTCGTATTGTGCAGATTTATGTATACCTTACAAGTAATATTGCTAGATCAAAGAGAATGTACATTTTTAATTGAGAGATAGTGCCAATCTCCTCTCCAAAGATGTTGTACCAATGACACTTTCTCCAACATTATATAAAAGTGTCTGTTTCCTTCACTCTAATCAATGCTGCTTGTCATCAAATTTTTCTACCTTTACAAATTTTAAGGTAAAAAATATATCTTATTTTCTTCAAGCTGTATTTATTTATGAATAATATTAGGCATCTTCTAGGCCTATTAGCCATTTACATATCATTTTCTTCTACATATGGATTTTATTTTAAGGAATGAAGCAGAGAATTCAGCTCATTTTTAAACATTTATTTATTTGTAAGGAAGAAGATGTTTTCTATGTAAGACATAAGAAACAGACCAGTTAATTTGAAAAACCACCTATTAGGAAGACAGGCAAAGAACACAAAGGGAAACTTCACAGAGAACAATACTGGATGAATAAATAAGTAAATGCCCAGCACTGCTTGTTGCTCAGACTCAAAGTCAAGTATAAGTCATACTGAAAATAGGTATACCAGGCCTTGCATCTGATCTGAACTTGAATCTCCAGGTAAGAGGCCCTAACATTTTCATTTTCAAAAATGCACCTGCATGTGGGGTATGTAACTCTCCGTGTATATTCAAAAGTGGCTTTTGTGATCTGAAAACATGGAATCTTGGAGGTATGGCACCTGAATTCTAGGCCTGTTACTGACTTAGAGCATGTCTTCTAACAAATCACATAACCCTGTGGCATCTCAATTTCCTCCTTTGTCAAGCAGGGATTAGGGCTCACACTTAACCCGTCTTACAGGGCTGTAGACAGGATCAAAAGAGAGAACAGATGTGAAAATGCTTTGATGAATTTTTCAAATACAACACAAATTAAGCCTATTATCATCTCTGGTACAAATCCAACAGAACAGAACCTTCACTGTAAGAACATGTCTGAAATCCTCTTTGAGCTACGTTAAGTATAAATGTGGCAGTGCTTCTCAAATACGCTTATTAAGAAAATGTTGAAGCTTATGTTTTTAATAGAAGAATCTTTCCACCAATAAAATCATTAAATTGTCACAATGAGCAGGAGGGATATTTCCTCTTAACTGACCTGATTCATACCAGCTCTTCACATAACATATCTATGTGTTTTCTGAAAGACACACTGGAGGCTGATGGGGCTCAGAGAATCAAACAGAAGCTCCGCAGCTATGTACCAACTTAATAATATATGATACTGTAATTGCTTTATAAGGGAAAATGCTATGTTCAACACGGTTGCTTCCGTCTTTGTTCATCCATGAATTAAAGATCCCTGTGCTTTATATCCTGAATGCTAATATCTTCCTCATTTGCTTCCTACTATAAATGAAACTTGTTGGTTAATTATTCAGGGACGTTACTGGATTCCATTTGCTATCCCTCAGTAGCAAAATATCTATGAAACAGACCCAGT